GGGGGGGGAAGATGAGGGACTGGAGGATCCTTTCAGTTCCTGGCTTGCCCTTGTGTTCTCTTTGAGCAGCAGGTTTGAATATTCTTAGCATAGATGGACATTAAAAGAAACATATTGGGATTTATGTCTTCCTCAAAGTTACAGATAAGATCTAAATGGCCTCGTTACAGCACCGTTTAGCTACTAGAGCCAGGATTTAAGTTGTGTTAATTCCAGCTGTTGGGCCAAAAACTCTAGAAGTGCTAGTATAGTGTAAATATTTAATAGACTATTGCCATTTAAAAGATTAACAGCTCTCCAGCAACTCTTTAGGCGGAGCTGGGTTGCTGTTCTCTGGTTTCTATCAAGTCAATGAATTTTAGCACTGATCTGGAAAGCTGATCTAAGCCTCTTAGTCATACTCCACAGAGTATGCTTGGCTCTGTGCGAGTTACTTGTACTGCAGTCTGCTATCGCGCTCTTGCCCTTTGACTAAACCTAGGTCAACCCCAAATGAAAACTATTTGGCCCAATTTACTTTTTTTTTTTGGGGGGGGGAGGTGGAGGAAGACAAAAACATATGGTGAAAAGCAAGCAGCAGGGATGAGAGTGGAAACTTGCTGCAGCAAAAATTAGCCCACTGACTTTTTATCCTCCTTTAATTTTAGGAAGATGATGAGAAGATAATCCAAGAGATTCAGAAAGAGGCTGAAGAGGAGCAAAGGAAGAAAAACGGAGGTAAGTCAGTCTTTATCTGTGATTAGATATCACATTGAAGATGACAGGAGAGCATAGGGTTCCCAGCTGCTGACAGATCTCTGGTTCTTGACTTCTTCCCAAGGCCTGGCCACTTACAGGCTTCTCAGTACAATGCTGTGCTGCACCATGCTTCACTGAGACCTTGCTCCAGAGAAGTGTGTGACCCCCCCCCCTTCCCGTCCCTTCTGGGAACCGCTTCAGCTTCAGAAGTGCTGTTGCTTGCAGGCTCTTAGCTGGGAACGTGGAGACACACGGCTCGTGTCCAGCTCTCAAAGGGTGTCGTGGATGAGCAGACCTGTGTCTCCTGTCTGCTTGGCAAAGTAGCTGAAGGGCAGCAAAGCCTCTGCGCTCTGAGGTGGAGGAGCAAAGGCATACAAGGGGCAGCCCCACACCCTAGCGAGCAGGACTTGCTGCTGAAAGTAGCCAGCCTGGCCTGTGCCCTGCAGCCCCTGGAAAGCATGAGGGAGCATGAGCAGTGAAATTAAGGGTGTGAGGGGCAAACTGAGATGCTGCAAGGAACGTGCTGGAGAAGGGGATGGAAGGTGCCACTAGCAAGCTTAAGACTGTTGGCCAAGCTTGGTGGGTTTGGGTTGTGGGACGACTGGTTCTTTTCTTTCCTCCCTCTGCAGAGAACAGTTTCAAGCGGATTGGCCCTCCTGTGGAAAAGCCCATGGAAAAGATCCAGAGAGTTGAAGTCATCCCCAGACCTGTTCCTCAGAACCTCCATCAGCCCCGAATGCCTCCTTACCCCTTTGTGCACCCTCCCTTCCCGCTACCTCCTGTCCGTCCCATTTACAATAACATCCCCCTCAACATAGGCCCTATCCCCGCCCCCTATGTGCCCCCTTTGCCTAACATGAGGGTGAACTATGATTTTCCCCAGATCAACGTTCAGCTGGAGCACAACTTGCCTATGCACTTTGGCCCTCAGCCTCGGCACCGGTTCTGACCTGGTTCAAATAGCACTTGGAGTAGAGTCACTGCAGGGCAAAGACCCCCCCCCCCCCCCCCCCCCCACCACCCCCCCCCCCTCATAATCCCAGCCCGCTTCCTGCTTCAGCCACTCTCGTTTTAGCCAGCTGCAAGGGGATCTGCTGTCTCACATGTACCAGCACTGCACCCATATCTGTAGCTTCTCTGAACCTTTACAATCAAACATTTTGATCTGTCTTGGAGCAGGGCTTGGTGCTGCATTTCCAAGGGTCTCTTCCTCTGTTGGGCATCCCGATGCTTTAATTTGGCAGAGCCTGTTCAGCCAGCTGCTGAGAGAGGAAGTGGCATTTGTGGAGCGCAGGGATGCAGCTGGTCCTTGGGGGCAGCACAGCTTTCCTAAAATCCTACCTTTCTGTCGGCTAGAACAGCTGCTGCGTTTTCAAGACTGAGTCTTGGGGAAAGAGAGGGGAGACCTGGCATCTGAATAAGACCTTCAGTAACAAAATAACAGGGCTCAGCTGCTCCAGCCTTCCGCCTGGGAAGCGGCATGAGGCTGTGGTTCCCATGTTCTCCAGTATCCCTGTAACCTGCTATCATTCCCCAGCAGAAAAAAAGCGTTAAAAACAAGCAAATCTGGCATCTGTTACCCTGTGAGGAGAGTGGTGGGATGCAGAAGCCATCTTGTTGCCAGATCACAGTAGGCGGCCCAGAGCCATGTTCTGTCTCAGGGCTTTAAGACAAGACTTGGGCACCTTAATTTTGGGGAACTGAAGTTGCCCCCTTTGAAGAGCTCACTTTTTTTTTTTCCCCAGAAGCGGGTGCCTCGCAGCTTCCAAAATGTGGGCCTTAGCTTTGTTCTGATCTGGGCATCCCAAATCCCCATTTACTTCTGGCAACAGTCAGCAAACAGTTGGAAGAAGCCTCTGGAGCATAAGTTTTATACTTCATTACAAAACTGCTTGGGCAGAAACCCACTTAAATCCATAAACAGTTCTGTGCGTGATATGTGCTGTCGCATAAGAATTGGTAACTACCTATGTAGTTATGCAGGAGGGCAGCTGTGAGCCTAGAGCCTCCTGTTAGTTAAAATCGCTGCAAACGAACAGGCAACTGTCGTCTTGTGCTGTAGGAAGCTGGCTGCTTCTGGTATGTTTAGTAACTTCTGCAAACGTGTGTTTTGGTTCAATTGGCTTCAGAAGGCTGTGTTAGAAGGCAAACAGAAGTATTGCTGGGCTTAGGAAGTGAGGATTTAGGAAAAGCAAAGTTTCCTTGTAGGAAGCAGGGGGTGTAATTGCTGCCTGAGCTTATAGGAAGTGCTGGGCCTGGGAGAAGAGCATTACTGCAGAGCCCTTTCCGCCGTTACTGTACGGTCCAGTACAGCCCCCTTTTAGAAGAGAAAACGGTTGGAGGGGAAAAAGCCTCCTCCCAGAAGTGTTGGATTAGTTTTCACCAGTGCAATTGTGTG